AGTGGTCAGCTCTCTCTTGAAAAAACCATCTTTGGACCCGGCCGAATTGGCAAATTACTGGCTGGTTTCCAACTTGCCCTACTTGGGCAAAATAATAGAGAGGGTTGTGGCAACTCAGCTACAGAGTTTTTTGAATGACGATTCCATTTTAGACCCCTTCCAGTCCAGTTTTTGCCTGGGCCATGGGACAGAGACAGCACTGGTTGCCCTCACAGATGACCTCCGGAGGTATCTGGATCAGGGCAGATCGGCAGTGCTGTTGTTGTTGGACCTGTCAGCAGCATTTGACATGGCTGACCATCAGTTACTGATCCACCACCTAGCCAACACAGCAGTTCAGGGGTCTGCCTTACAATGGGTTTCTCTGAGGTCAGGGACAAAGGGTGGCACTAGGGGAACAGCTGTCCCGAAGGCACCCACTGAACTGCGGAGTGGCTCAAGGGGTGGTGCTTTCCCTGATCTATATGCACCCCTTTGCCCAGATTGCCCGGAGGTATGGGCTGGGATGTCACCAGTATGCAGATGACACCCAGCTCTATCTGTTGTTGGGCGGCCAGTCTGACTCTAAACCAAAAGATATGGACTGGGCGTTACAAGCCGTGGCTTTGACTGAGCCGACTGAAATTGAATCTGACGAAGCAGAGGTCCTGTGCCTGAGTTGGGGCGGTCCGAGGGGAGGGATCCCACTCCCAACCTTCGATGGGTGCTGATGGTGCCCATGTTGGAGGTTAGGAGCTTGGGTGTGCTCTTGGATGCCTCCTTAACAATGGAGGCCCAGGTAGCAGCCACTGCCAAGTCAGCCTTCTACCATCTTCGGCTGATCAGGCAGCTAGCTCCCTTTCTCGACAGCAACGACTTGGCAACTGTGATCCGTGCGATGGTCACCTCGAGACTGGACTACTGTAACACTCTCTACATGGGGCTGCCCTTGTCACAAATCCGGAAGCTGCAGCTACTGCAAAATGCAGCGACCAAGCTCTTAATGGGCCTCCCTATGTGGGAGCACATCCAGCCGGTGCTGAAGGCATTGCACTGGCTGCCAATAGTATACTGAATTCGCTTCAAGGTGCTGGTTCTTACTTTATGGTCTGGGGGCAACATACCTGAGGGACTGCCTTTCCCCACATGTACCCCAACATCACTGTGTTCAGGGTCCCAAAATCGACTGACCCTCCTGGGTCCCAAAGAGGCCCGACTAGCTATAACCAGGGCCAGGGCCTTTTCGGTGGTGGCTCCATACTTGTGGAACGAGCCCTGCAAGACCTTCTACAGTTCCACAGGGCCTGCAAGATGGAGCTCTTCCACCAGGCTTTTGGTTAAGGAGCTACCAACAACACCATCACCAACAACACCACCAACAACAGTTGATAAATACAGAGCCCTGATTCCTGGCTCCATCATTTACAGCCTGTGCCAGCAGCAGATAATACTAATTTAAAGAGAGTCTAAAGAGAAATTGGGGGGGTGAAGGAGGGAGAGTTTGGTAGAGTTGGTCAAAAGGAGAAAGTGATGTGGAACAGGGCAAGTTGGATGAGCTGAGCATAGGGATGCCACCCTCCAGGGAGGACCTGGAGATCCCCTCAAATTACAGCTTATCTCCAGACTACAGAGACCACTTCCCCTGGAGAACATCGTCAAAAAGCAGCTGGACCCCTGGGATACTGTAACATTAAGCCACCCGGTTTCTGGAGGAGGGGTTCCCCGTGAGGACAGAGCCTTCTAAGAGTCTCCACCAAAATGATTGAGAAGGAGGACAGGTTAGAACAGATAAAAGGAAGTACTTCTTCACCCAAAGAGTGATTAACACATGGAATTCACTGCCACAGGAAGGGGTGGCGGCTACAAGCATGGACGGCTTCAAAAGGGAATTAGATAAGCATATGGAACAGAGGTCCATCAGTGGCTATTAGCCACAAGGTATAGATAGGGACTCTGGGGCAAGTGATGCTCTGTCTTCTTGGTGCTTGGGGAGGTCAACAGAGGGAGGGCTTCTAATGTTCTGGCCCCACTGGTGGGCCTCCTGATGGCACTGGTATTTCTGGCCACTGTGTGACACAGAGTGTTGGACTGGATGGGCCTTTGGCCTGATCCAACATTGGCATCTCTTATGTTCTTATGACCCTGTGTCCAGCTCCATGTCACATGGGGACTCCTCTATGTGGACCATGATCCGTATTTTGTTGGGGGTGTCCTGCGGCAAACCTTATGCTCCTGGTTGGTGATCATTGTGTGGAGGTTCATTGCTTCTTGTTGGTGCACCAACATCCACTGTTGTGCTCCTCGGGACCGACAGACTCATGCCAGATGGTTGGCTTTCCCACAGGTCCTGCAGATTGCATCGCGGAACCGGCAGGACCGACGTTCATGGTCTTTCCCGCAGCTGGCACATTTTGCTTGGGTGTATGATTTGGTGGGTGCTTGGGCGGTTGATCTTGCTGGCAGAGCCGTTACCGTAGGGGTGCATGAGCTGTGATGGGTCTGATGCCATAGTTGCAGGACCTCGTCATCATCTGAGATGCCCGAGGCAGCGGAAGAGGCTGCTAGGTGGACTGAAGATGGTGGACGGTCCTGCTGAGACCTCTTGAATGTGGTGGCTATGTGGAGTGCCATCTCTAGTTTTAGCTCAGCCGTCCCGATCAGTTTGTGGCGGAGCTTGTAGTCTTGGACGCCGCAGACTAATTATGTGAGGATGATGTCCTCCATATCCTGAAACTTGCAGTCGACTGCAAGTTGGTAAAGCTCAGCCATGGAGATGGTGGCTGCTTCTCCCGGTTTTTGGGTGCGCGCTAGCAAATCTATGCACTTGGTCATCTTGGTCAGTTTCAGTGCAAAGTAACCTGTGAGGGCCTTGATGATGTCATCATACAGGGTCTTGGCCAACTTCTTTGGAGCAAGGAGGCCCTGGGCCAGGTGAATGGTGGCCACTCCATACGTGCTGAGGAGTAGAGCCCATTTCTTGCCTGCGTCAGTGACCTCCTGGTAGGTGAAGAAGTTGGTGAGCTGCTCCACCCACACTTCCCAGAACTCAGGTTGTGTGGGGTTGAAGATCTCGAGGTGTCCCGAGGCAGCAGCCATGACTCTCGAGCGAAGCAAGGAGTGGTGTCCTGGGGAGTAGAGCGCGGTGCAGTGCTGCTCGTGAGCGATGTGGGGCACGGCGGCGGCCGATGCATCAGTGCTCGGTGCTTGGCGGGAGGAAGAGTCAGGCTCGCTCATCGGGATCCCATCCTTGTCACCAGTATAATGTACTGAGTCCAGACGTATTGATAAGTGAAACAACTCATAGTTTATTTCAGCTCAGGAAAACAAGACAAGGAAAGCAGGACCGGAGGTCTGCTTATATTCCCATAGTGAACCACACCCAAACACACACCCACACAACAGCTTTGCTCCTCCTTTCCCAGGACACCTTTATCTTAGACCACTAAGCAAGAACAGAAAAAGAACCGATTATATATTTTGCATACACAGTCTGGTAATAGTCTTTGTTTTGATTGTTGAAGACACAGAGAATTGGTACGTCTTCTTTATCCCTTTAAAATATCAACCTCTGAAAGTAAGTTCAAATGTCGAACCTCCACCATTATAGACAGTGATCAATGGAGCAGCACTGCCTGACAAATCTCAAACAGACTCCCTGTCTTTAGCTTCATCCAAACGAAACTCATTGTCCCAAGCCAAGCACATCCAGCTTCATAATTCAAAGGCTTGGAAGGATAAGCCACCAGATGGGTCATGCGTAACAAAGCTTTAGTACTCTAAGGTGCAAATGAGAATGGGTGTGTCACTTCCCTGATAAGGGAGACAAATGTTCTTACTTAGAGTCTCATTTTGTAGGGAACCATGAAGAATGGGGGGATCTCTGTCTGTCTGTCTGTCTGTCTGTCTGTCTGTCTGTCTGTCTGTCTGTCTGTCTGTCTCTCTCTCTCTCTCTCTCTCTCTCTCTCTCTCTCTCTCTCTCTCTCTCTCTCTCGTCTGTCTGTCTGTCTCTTTGTATTGGTCTGTCCAACCAACCAGGCTGAAAAAACAGATTTACAGGACCTTTTGTGACTCATGGAGATCTTCCCTAGGACAGAATGGGGGGAAAAACCCTATTTTTAAAGCTGGATTTCCCCCACAAAAGTTGCCACTTCAGAAAAGGAACAATTTGTGTGTTATAATGATTACAGTGTTGGACCAGGATCTGAGAGACCCAGATTCAAATTTTAGTCTATAAAGCTTTCTGAGTGACTGTGGTGTGCGCTCTCTCTCTCTCTCTCTCTCTCTCTCTCTCTCTCTCTCTCTCTCTCTCTCTCTCTCTGCCTAGTCAAATTCCCAGAGTTTTTGAGGGTGTTGATGTTTGCTACCGTGAGCTCCTTAGGGCATGATCAAAATGTACTAAATAAATAAATATTAAGTGTGAAAATATTCACAAACCCCTCCCAACCATCTTCCACTATTTAGTGAATTTCCAGAACTGTCATGTTTTTAATTGAAATAAACCTGCGTCAGTCTAATATGGGAAATATCAAGCCTTGCCATATACAAAGTACATATTCATAAAATGAAATTGGGGGGGGGGGGTAATTGCTTGATGATTTTACCATTTTCAAAAGTACCACAAATCAGGTTCCATTCTTTCTGACACCTAGCTAGCTAGCTGAACGGTCTGAAAGGATAAAAATAAATAATGCTAAGGAAGAGCAGGAATTAAGGATTCTGCCAAGCATTTATTTTTGTCCATGTGTATCAGAGCAGTAGAGGGGACATGACTGCTTCCAGTATCAGTGACAACTAGTGGAATGCTGCTCCGATAGTCCCCTTACTTTCAGGGGCAGTTTTCTGGGAGGCACCATAGTAATGGCAGCAAGCCTTGTAAGGAACTTCTAACCCATCAAGCCCAGAAATAAAACTTGTGCATTTCCAGTAAGTGCTTTAACTTTACCTGCAGGTACAGCCTACCAAGTTCAGATACAGCATATGTGCTAAACAGCAAATTGCACATTATTTCTTCTGTCATACAGGCGAGGATCCAATGTCTCACTCACTTTGGACATGAGCAGCTTGGGAAGTGTTGAACCTTTTGTGGCAGCCCCAACACCAAGAGAAAAAGTTGCAATGGAATATCTGCAGTCAGCTAGCCGAGTCCTGACAAAGCAGCAATTGCAAGACACAGTTGCAAGTTCGCATTTGCTTCAGACTGAGTTCATGGTAAAAATGCTGATGAGTAATTCCAAAAGTCAAACAAACCAAACAAAACTACCGAGCCAGCTAGAATGCATGTTTGACCTGATTGCCCCTACAGCACTCTTATCATCAAATGCAAAGTGAAGCACAGACTCCCAAGTATCATAGAAATGTAACTGTTATCCCACACAAATGTTTATCCTGACCTGTGGAGCCTTGCACGGCCTTGCCCCCCCTCTCAGTTCTCATATTTTAATACATCCCTGCCTATTACATTTGCTTATTTAACAACTATACTACCCTCAGTCATCTGAAGGTTTAATCACTCTTTTCCATGGCTGCATGCAAGGCCTGTGTACCAGAATACCTGGTAGATACCACCTTTCTCATTCCCTTGAAAACACTCTCAATTGCCATCTTTCCCATAAATTTACCCTTTCCTTCTGAAATTAAGCCTTGAAGTACATGTAACTGAAACAAGCACTTATTCTTCCCCGGTTTATCCCTGCCTTCACTTCTCTTTGTCGTTTCACTTATCTTTAGGTTGTAATCTCCATGGGCTGGGATCTGTTTTCTTCCATTCTGTTAAGTGACTTGTATATTGATGGTGCCAAATAAGTGAACAAATATATGAAAATAATAATAGCTGTTGAATGGCAGAGGTGACTCTAGAGAAGGCTCCTTGTGAAGTACTTGAAGGGATAAACTACACCACATGCAATTGCGTATGAAACAACCTTTTGTTGGTAACAGAAAGCAGTCTTCGGAGCCTCCCAGGGTTAGCAATAAAAGAGCTTACGTACCCTCAAATGCATAAATATTTTTGTAAACATGCATTTGAAGTTGTATAAGGAGAAAAGCATCTTGAAGAGCTATTTCAAGCAGGAAAAGGCTTTAGTGCTCACTGTCGCTTCTCAAAATTGCTGCTTTTCATTTTTTTAAAAACCTAGCACATCTCTCATTCTGTGTATTTGCAGGAAGGCGTGGTTTGCCCTTCAGAAGTACAAGAGTTACTTATTTTGTTTTTTTTCCCCCCTCCATGTAGGAAATTCCAATGAATTTTGTGGATCCTAAAGAAATTGACATTCCTAGTCATGGAACTAAAAATCGTTATAAGACTATTCTGCCAAGTAAGTCCCTTGAAACTGATATTTTGTTCAGGCAGTTTAATATTCAGGCCTGTAATGTAGCCTTTCCTTTTCCTATGATCAGTCCACTGCTTGTGTCAGCTTTTCCATTCCCAGAGTCGGGTGTGCCTTTTGAACTGGGTCACCTGTAGTGACTGACAAGTGAGGGCTGAAATGATAAACTTTCTTTTGGAAAAGGCTAGCTTGACAACTCCACCCAGTATGTTGCTGAGGGCATTCGGTGACTTTTGATAGATTAACTGCCAAGTTCCCACTAACACTGAATTCTGATCTATCTTTTGTGGACTTCTGCCTGAACAAAACATGACATCGCTTTTTTATTATTCCATGTCCTGTTAAATTGGAGATACATTTATTATTTTTGCAGAGATACTTTTATTTTTTGCGGGCATTGCTGTTTTTCAGCAGTTTGGAGAGTAAAACCATTTTGTTCAAATTGATGGTCATTTACTGCATCAACTAAAATTATGTCCCTTCATGTCCAATTGTGTTAATACTGAAGATGGTCAGTCTAATCTGCAAAATAGATGGATTAGGCCTGCTCCGAAGCCTTGGGCTGTGGTCACACACACTAAATAATCCACTTTCAATCCACTTTCAATGCACTTTCCAACTGGATTTTACTGTGTGAACTGGCAAAATCCAGTTGAAAAGGGCATTGGAAGTGGATTGAAAGTGGATTATTTAGTGTGTGTGACTGCAGCCTTGGGCTGAGACTGTATGAGGGTTAAAATTGTTTGGAATAAATGACTAGCTCCCCTCCCTCGGATGAAATCCAAAAGAGGAGGGGTGGAGGAACCGTGGGCCTCTGAGAACGTGTTTCTTAGAATGCTGTAACATCTGTGGCAGTACTTGTACCATCATATCTACCGCAGCTACATAAAATCTAGATGCCCTGCGTAACTGGTGGTTTACAGCATCTGTATACTTTTCTTTGTAGTTCTCAAAGGTAAATGCATTTTTTTTCTTTTTCATTCCCCTCTTTCCAGATCCTACAAGCAGGGTGTGTTTAAAACCAAAGAACCCTGGCAATGCCTTGAGCACCTATATCAATGCTAACTACATTAGGGTAAGTAAGCTGATGAGCCTTATGATAATTTCCCATATTACATTTCATTTTCCTATCAGATCAACAGTTACAAATATTTGATCATCCTGCTGGGCTCCTATTTACTTTTCTGCCCACAAATCCTTGCCCAATTCTTATTTCTCTCTGTAAATAAAACTATAAACAATGAAAGAACCAATTATCTAAACTCTGTGACAAATGATCAGTTGTTTCATACAACCTTGTTCTGTCATTCACAAGCACTTTCATGCAGAGCTCTAGTGGAACCTTCCTAGTAGTTCTCTTTTTAATATAGGTCCCCATTTCTTTTATATCCACCAAAAGCACAACTCCTTCTTGTGTCTGTTTCTAAATCAGGGTTATGGTGGCCAGGAAAAGGCCTTCATCGCAACCCAAGGGCCTATGATTAATACAGTGAATGACTTCTGGCAGATGGTATGGCAAGAGGACAGTCCTGTCATTGTTATGATCACGAAGCTGAAGGAGAAAAATGAGGTATGATTTCTCAGCTTGCAAAAACCATTAAATTGTTCTCATTGATGTGAAAACAAGCTGACTTGCTACTATCAAATGATATGGACTCAAATAACATGATGTATGCAATCAAAATGTAATCCCCCCCCCCCAAAAAAAAAAACCCTTAGGAACTGTTGATGGATTTTGTTGGGAAGGAATTATTTATTCTTTTTATGCCATCTATTACATCGATTTATAGGATGACATGAAAATATGGCTCCCTAAGAAGCTTGCAGTCTAAATATGACACAATGGGAGGGAAATGGAAGGGAGGGGAATAGGAATGGAGACCTCCCACCAGCAATTCCCCAATACCCACTCCTTTTTGATAGGCTGGTGTAGAAATATAGATCCAAAAATGAAATCACCATCAGTGCAACAGCATGATATCATTTCCAGGCCAAATCTGGAATTGCCATCATGCCACTCTAGGATTCTCCTGAATACTAGATTGTGTGATATCATGTGATATCATTTCTGGGTTTGTCCCAGAAATGACATCATGGTGTCACGCCAATGATGCCCCCATGCCCCACATTCAAAAGCTCCCAAGATTTCCAGGCACAGGTCTGGGAACCCTAGAGGGAATGGGCAAGACAGTATGTGGTGTGAGCAAATCCACTTACATGGTGTTGTTTTATTTATTTAAAACATGTCTTCCCTTCCGAAAAGGGTTAGGGTTACTAACAGCAATTTAGAAAACAAAAGTTGTGAATGTTATGGAATATCTGCTGGAAAGATAGAACAGTTAAGTAAATGACAATCATGTCAATCATGTCTGGTAATGCCAGAACTAGAAGTAATGTAGTTTAAACTACATGTAAAAATCTAGTTTTTAATTACTGTTGTAAGCTATCGAGCAATCTGAATGTAAGAGGACCTCCCCTTGAAAAATAGCTTGGACAGCCTTTGCAAGTAAGAGTTCCATCTTGTGCACTGGAGCCTGTGTGGAGCTCTGACTGGAGCAGGAAATCTGTCAATTGACAGAGAAGCTATTTACATCATTTTTATCATATTCAAAATATATTTAAAATTAAATCTAAATGCTTGTATTCTAAAGGAACATGAAATTATAAACAATTCCTTGTCTTACCTGATCAAGATACCTTTGAAAATGAGCCCCACTATAATGTAAGTTGAACAGCAAATGTTTTCCCAAAGGAAATGCCAATTTTTAAAACACACACTTCTAACACTACTTGAAAAGAAGGACTTGAAAGATATATCCAGTGGACTCCAATATATCAGGAAGCACTGTGTTTACTGGAATTGCCACAATAGTGTTTATCTGTATTGTCATGGACTGACAGTGGCAATTTCCTTCTAATAAAGGAAGGGGAGACATCTTAAGAAGTTCCCAGGCTATATGGAGAAAGTCTGTGTTTACATGACTTTCTGACATCCCACTGGGAAATCCTGGGAAAAATATTAAGAACTATTGAAATGGAGGATGAATTATTCTGTCATCTTATTGGTTACTGGAGTCTGTTTGCTCTCTGTCTTAGTTGGTATCAAAAAATTAATGCTTTCGGAGAAAACAGAGGAATCACTTTTATTTAGAAGATAATGACATTTGTGCAATACGGCTTGTCCAGACTCTCATATGCACAAGGGACAAGTTCTCATTCCATCTTCATCCAGGACAGTTTGACTGCAGTCTCATTGGAGCAAATGATTTAAGAATGGCTGCCATATTGAAAACAGAATCCAGCATAAGTTTTTTAAAAAAGTATTATTTGCAAAGCACCCAAATATTAGGCCCAAAGGGTTTACATTGTGATTAAGGAGGCTTCTGGGTGAATATTTTTCACTGCTTGGTGGGTGAGACACAAGAGAACATTTCTGTCCCTCCATGCAATGGCAGCGACCCCACTGATCAATAGGAGTGTGCTGAATGACATGCCAACTGGAAAAACAAAGTTAAAGCCATAAGATTGAATAATTTATGTTGCTGTTAGTACTTAAATATGGAAGCAGAATAACAGAGCTGCTACCAGTATCTCTGGTTTGCTTTTTGGAGAGCTGCGTGGGTAACCAGCTCCCACTGCATATATAGAAGGGAAAGAACACAAGCTATTCAATACCTGTTGCTGGGAAAGTCCCAGCCCTTGCTCACTCATGTTTATTTTAGGAATGAACCCTAGATGAGTAATAGTGTAATCCTAAAGACACTTATATCCTTCTAAATCCTTTGAAGTCATTGGTCTTAGAATCTGTTTAGGATTGCACAGTAACAACTAAAGAATGCAAAAAGATTTCTAAAAATTGAAACAATGCTGCATTAACTATTGTCCTTGTCTAGGCATCATAGACAAAATGCAAAAATATTTTAAGTGCCATACAGAAAACATATTTTTTCCTCATTAAAATGTGTATGCAACATTTCCTGAAACTTACTTATGGAAGCATAAATCAAGCATACAATACAACTTAGAGCTGTGTTTTTAATATTGTGATGGATGATCTTGCTGCATAAATGTTGACTGATCTCACATCATTAACTTTTCCTATGTGAGAATCACATTGGGGTTCCAAACATAAACAGCATCTATACTTACAAGTGTGTGTGGCTTCCCCCTAAGTTTGGTGTTAATTGTAGGGTTAGGGGTTAGACTGCCTGTCATTTCCCTAGAAAGCACTTTCTTGGGGGCACCTTCTTTGGGGGGTTGTAACTCAGACCCCATAAATCCAATCCTTACCACACTTGGAGAGCAGGTAGAGGAGAGTTTGCCAGAAATCCCCTGTGAGCTTGGTGTCTCTAGATTGCACAGAATCCATTCTATACATTCCTGAACCTCCTGAACATGACAGGAGGTCATTTTGACAGGCGCAGGTTTGGGAGATTCAGGAGGTGGGATGCTTACAGCCACTGGGGAGGTTTGGTCAACAGGATTGCCTTAGCACTGCTGCTGGCCCAGCCTCCCCGATGTCTTTAAATACAATTCCCCCCAACACCAGACAGGCTGGTGTCTGTCAGGTGTAGGAGTAGGGCCAGGGTATGAATGTTTATGGGGAGATAGTAAAGGACATTTCTAGGAGCCATTTTGATGCGTGCCTCCCTCATGAACCTGAAGAAATGTCCACCACATCACCACTCCCTCACACTAACTCCCCCTCACACCTCTCACCTCTTACTGCCCCCAAGAAAGCTCCTGGCAAACATCGAGCCAGACTCACCAACGCTACAAGGAGGAGGCAACTTAGGAATGCATCAAAGACATTTGCACATAGTACTCCTGCAGTGCACTGAGGTGCACAGGCCAAGTATCAGCAAGATCACCCTGAGGTGCTCAGAACAACACAGTCTCCATATGTGCAAAACAATCCAGGAAAACAAGTAGAGAGGCCATCACTTTCGTGGAAGGTACCAGGAGTTGACTTAACAGATGACTGTTTCTTAAATGGACAGTTCTATGTGGCCGGCTCCAGAGTGAACTCAACAAGCAGCCTAGTGATCCTAGCACCTGAGGGCAGAACCACCAATGTGGTCTAGAGAGAGGTCCTTCAGTAGAGAGGGGGGGAAGTATGTATGTCTCACTTCATTTCTTACACTACAATCTTCTCTGTTAGAATTCCTACAACAAATGTCACATTTCAAATTTCACATCATCAGTACTATAACTGGATTTACAGAACTTAAAAACTGTAGCGACGCATGGGTAGCAGGCTAGTTGTGTATAAAGCTGCTCTGTGATTTGCTTATTCAATCAGGTGTGACTCTCACCACAATGAAAAATCCTTGTAACTAGAGGTTAGCCCTGTCATGGAAATCTCCTCCCAGCTATGCTGTTCTGGTAGTACATGGTTTGGTCCAGAACTCTGCCTAAGACACACCTTTTGGAGACTCCTTTTATTTATAGTTTATTTTATTTACAAATACTAAAGTAAAGGTTCTGAACTTTCTGGCCTTGATTAGCACTGAACATGCATCAACACAGTTTATGTTATTTACCAGAAGTTTTAAAAGGTTCAAAAAAATCTGTCCTTTATTAGGTGTTGAACATGTTGTGAAATTTTCTTATCAGAATCTTAAAAAAAAAAATCAAGAGTGTTATCAGAGTTCATTGCATCTTTCACTTTGGATACATAGGCATAAATGTGATCAATATTTTCTTGGGTAAGAACCAGGCATTGTAAACAATAGCTAGTTGTGAAGAGAACATATATTTCTTCACAGACAACCATGCTTTCTGTAAAAGACAGGCAGTCATGTGCGGCTTGGGAAATAGTGTGAATGGTACATCCCCCACACGGCTCATAAATATTCACTGATACAGTGTTTCAGAATTCCATACACTGAGGTTTGTACAATATTCTTCATGGCTAATATGCATTTTTGAGTTGGAATAATCTATATCATTGTCAATTGTCAGACATGTGGAGAAATGCATTTTATTTTTAAACTAAGGCTTTGCATAAACTCCACTCTTGGTTTTTAAAAGTTTCATTTGTTAGCAGAAGACAGGCAGGGAGGGGGAAGTCAATTGCTCCCAAGTATTGCCTATCCTACCAATGACCCTAGCAAGTACCAAGCTATCAAATCTTTGCAACTGTAAATGGCCAGCTCACAGCTTGGCTGGAATCTGACACTGAAAAGATGACAGAGACTTGGAATGCAGAAGTCTATAGACAGGATCATCCTGGTGACCCCAGGAAAAAGAGATTTGACCATTGAGGGGGTGGGCAGCCAAAAGAGATAAAATCCCTCGGAAAGGACCAAGAAGGATCCATTTGGCTGATTCCAGCAGGGGATAACTTGCAGGAGGAACTGTCATGATGAGCTCCATCTTGGTTGGCAGCCCAAACAAAGTCTCCAAGGTAATAGTAAGCTTTTAGAGTACTGTAACTGTTAAGCTTAAAGAGCATGCCTTGAAATAAGACCAGCTAGGGTATGAATTGAATCGAGGGGGGAAAGAACTGTGTGTTTCCACTTTTTAAAATTGTTTGCTCAGTCCATTGCCATGCATAGTATGTGTGGCCTTTTTTCTTATAATAGATTCTTCATGGTTTTAAATGTTGATTGGTGTCGCCTGTACCACTTAGACCTCCACCATTAAAACACCCTACTCAAAATGGACAGTACAGAAAGGGAGGCGGTTGGTTGTGAAATCATTAATTCCCTGAGAGTGCACAAGTGTGAAGCCATCCCCTTGCTAACCAGTTATTGAGCAGTGAGAGATGCAGGCACTAGGCAGAGCCTGTAATCAGCCATGCAGAAGGGAACTTGAGAGTGCTGATCCTTGGTGGGTAATTCTGAAATCAACCAGCTGGTGGCAGTGTACTGAAGGAGAAGTGCAAGAGAGCTCGTGAAAGACAGGTGAGCTGGAAGAGTGGCACATTGATGGACAGGGGCTGCTCTGTCACAAGGTATAAAAGCTTTCTTATAGTAATGCACCTTGCCTGGAAGGTCTTTGCTATTGTGGCTGCTGGTTCCTTTAAGAATGCATTCTAGTTTAGTTTAGTGTTTTTTTAAAGACACATGGTGAATGCTTTATGCACCCCTTCCCCAAAACAACTGAGAACCCTAGGCACCACCCATGTGTGAGTATTCTCTGTTGGAATAAGATTCTGCAGTGTGGTATCATTTGGCTAGTTCTCCACAGGTACAGAATAGAGAATTCACGAGGTTCCAAGACATTGACAACAGGCTTCTAGAAAACTAATGACATTTTAATTTTTTAAGAATATTTATACATAGTTCTCTTTTGAGAACCTGTGGCCTACTTTCCCTATCCATCCTCCAAATTATGTGTGTTCAAACAGCTCTTGGCAATCTGGAAAAATTTCCATTAACCCATACCATATATTGGAAATCTCATTTTCACAGGGGTCGTTTCGTAGAAAAAGAGCTAGGAGAACTCATTAGCATAACTCATTAGCATATGCCACACCCCCTGACATCACCGGAAGTGTGTCAGAAGGCCACACACCCTGACATCGCCGGAAGTGTGTCAGAAGGCCACACCCCCTGACATCGCCGGAAGTGTGTCATAAGACCACACACCCCGCCCCCAACGGTCCCAGCCGCCGCCGGCGGCCTTGCAAGGCCAGCGGGAGTGCAAGGAAGCCCCGCAAAGGCCCTCCCTGGCCCCAGGCAGGCAGGGGTGGGGAGAGGCAGGGAGGAAGCAACTTACCCTCCCTCTTCTCCTGTCTCCTCCTGGCTGAATGAGTGCCGGAAGCGGGGCGGCCGGAAGCAGGGGGCGGGGCTTCGTCATGTGCCCCGCCCCCCGTACCTCACCCGGGGAAATTGCGTTCCCCCGCGATTCCCCCCAAAATGACCTCTGCATTTTCAGGCAACAACACCTCTATGGTTGTTCCACCATCATTCGCACTAGTCTGGGTCTCCTTGTCATGAACCAATGTGTAATTTGGTACAAATTCCCCATAATCAAAACTAGTACTCATGTAGCACCTTTTGAAATTAGGCCTCAGACAAAACAACACTGTTTCCAAGAAAGCTGCTTCAGCAGTTAGCATTACTTTTTAATATAATAGTGCCTAGTATACTGTGAGGGGGGAAACATTTCTGCATAACTCACAATTGTAAAGAATCAGGGATAAAGTCAAGAATTATATAGTCTGAGTCACAGCCTCCCCCAGATTTCAAAAGTAGCTTGTGAGACTGGGAGGGAGGATGGTACTCTGAAAGAGAGCTCCCCCACCCACCCAGTCGTGTGCGCTGAGCTTGTGGAAGCTTCAGTAATAGAACCGGGTCTGAGGGGTGCTGCTGGAATCCTGGCAAGGAATATGATAAAGGCATTGTACCTTATGGGAAGTGACAGGCAATAATAATGGAAGGTGGTTTTAGTCGACAGTCTCACTGTGCTGTCAACCGCCAGTGCAAGCTGCCAATGAACGGGCTGGGAACAAGACAAGAATAACATTCCTAAGGGAGCAAACAGAAGCCTGGAGAGAGCTGCAGACAGTACACCCGTTTATCAAGAAATCTCAGAGGCGGACACCGGGATTGTTAATGGGCAAGGAGCAGCTGAAATATTCAGTATTTCTTTTCCTACATCTTCCTAGGGAGCTGCATATTTATAATTGTTAGTATTATTAGCTCACTAATGCTCCAGGGCTCGGATGGCTGCTAAAACATTTTAAATTCAACAGTCAAAAGCTAGGGTGGTTTTTTGTGGGTTTTTTTATATTGCTGGTATCTGAGTGGGATGGAGACTGGACTTACAATACATGAGTGTTCTTTGATCCCTCAAGCACAAGTGACGTGTCTCTTTGAATGAGACCTCTTAAATAGGGCAGTAGAATTTCATCTAACAGAATAGGTGGTCATCAGATGGGCCTGAAATACTGAAGGTAAAGAATATTTAATTTTTTGGGGGGGAGTAAATAATTTTACTTGGGGGGAGTAAAAGGCTAATCAGCTGTAGAATTGCAAAATAAGCTTAATTTTTGTCTGCTCATTTTACTGAAAGGATGATTTGCATTTTATTGTGGACTTTATAAGGAACTGCAATAGGAAGGGCTCCATATATTAGTACAAACACATGGAAGTGTGTGTATATTTAATGCTCAGTATGAAGATTTAATGCTCAGTATGCTCATATCTGGTTAGTAATCATGGTACCTGGAGCCCTTTTATCAGTACCATTCTAATATGCCTTGTACTGACTTTTTTTGAAGGTTGAAAGACATGCCATGCATTCAAAAGCCTGTTTTTTCCATCCTGTTTGTTTGTGGGGTTTTTTGCATTGTATTTTTGTATTGTAAGCTGCTTTGGATCCTCATTGGAGAGAAAGGTGGCGTATACAGTCTTACATAAATAAATTGACCATCCAGACTGGGGAGTTATTCTCATGAATGCCATTTTAATTAATGTCAAGCAACCAATTTAAAAAAAATAAATCTAGATCAGACTGTTTTTAACTACCACCGCCACCAACGAGGTGGACAACATCGGGGTAAGGATGGCCCAGGAAGATCTGCCACAATTTCTGCGTGGCCACTGGATTTACCTGGTTGAGCTACAGGATAACATCACCCTGGAGAACCATCTGGAGACCATCTTGTTAAACTGAGTATAATTTTATTAACTGTCATGATTGTTTTATTGCTTTTATCTGTTTTATATGGGCTTTGCCTCTTGTAAGCCACCCTGAGCCTGCTCTGCGGGGAGGGCGGGGTATAAATCTTAATAAATAAAATAAATAAAAATAATAAATTTTACTTCAATATTCTTTTTTTCCCAGAAATGTGTGCTGTACTGGCCAGAGAAGAGGGGGATATATGGAAAAGTGGAAGTACTTGTGAACAGTGTGCAAGAGTATGAGAATTATACTGTCCGCAACCTTACATTAAAGGTAACAATACAACTGATCTTAAACTGAGCAATGTGATCTGAAAACAGAAGACGATTGAAAAAAAATCTGCACATAATATTTAGCTTGTAGAACTCATTGACACTAGAGGATAAAGACCATTTAACAGATACTTTTCTGAAATCTGTTATATGGTCTTTGTGAAGAAATACCTTTTTTCCTGGGAGGTTTGAAATGAGCAAAGCCTGTGCATTTTAATAGTTTTTTTTTCTCTGGGCAGAGACCAGGCAGGAAGAGGGAAGTCGGTTCAATCGCTTCCCAGATGTACCTCAGTTCACCTTCATACAAATGCTAAACAGGTCTAGCAGGAGAGATAATGGTTGGGCCAGGCTCTCCCCCTTCAAGTAGGGGACAGAGATGTGGAGGTGTTAAGTGTTAGAGAGGTTTCAGGAAAGAGATTCCTGGAGATCCCCAGGAAATGCCTCTTTGACCTGGCCTGACCTGGTCAGGGGGTGAGGAAAAGAGAGGTGAAAAAACTCCTTGCAGGAGGAAGAAGGTCTCTTTTTCCTTGGGCACTGAGTCCATGAGCAGACACAGACCTCTCCACTGAAGGAGGCAGCCATTGACCATGTGCTGCCCCAGAGAGGTACAGAAAGCTTCAAGGTAATAGCGGTTCTGTAAAGATCTGTAACTTCTTAAGCATTAGGAGCCTGTCCTATTTTAACATCTGATAGGGCATATATAGAGTGGTTCTCTGTACCACATAGACCACCACCATAAGGCCATAAAGTGTCCCTGTGGTGACCTGGCACTGGGCAGCAGGAGACACAGAGGCAAGGCCTCAGAACTTGGAAGGGAAGCTAGGAGTCCTGACTCTCCCAGTGGGCAATTCCATACAAAGGTCAGGTGGTGGCGGCACATTATCGGGGAGAGAGAGAAACACCTCTCCAGGCGTTGGGAGAAACCTTGGAAGGTAGAGTAGAACAGGGCCTGCAGGCCAGAGCAGGCAGATTCCACCACAGTCTTTATCATCTAGAATGAATATGGCATGCCATCAGAAAGCATAGATCAAGCAAACAAGAGCATGGATGCCCCAATCTTATGCATGGATTTAACTGTCTGTGGTTCCACCATAAAGTCATGTGTGCATAAACAGGTATAGATATAAACCCTGTTTACAAGTTACAGTGAACAAATGTACAATTCCTGTATAGTGTACATTTGATTTTTTCTTAATATATGCATTGAGTAATTGTCATGTTAACATTCAGTGCATATACATCTGAACATATGATTTATACCCCCCCCCCAATTTGGCCAAGCTACTGGTTGCTGCAGGGGTGGATTGGCCATTAAGATAAAGTTGTCAGGTGCCCACTGAGGATAGGGGGACTCCCACCCGTGCCCTCTTTCACCTGCCCTCAATCCAGTGAGCAGTTGGAGTCAAAGGGGGAGTACAACACTGCTGATGTTTTGACATTACTACCCCTCCTTCAGTGCTCCAGGAACTGACTCAGGCTCAGGCTCTATGATATTCACCATAGAGTTCTGGAGACTCCCAGAGGGTTGTGTGTGGCATGAGTGCCATCACTTCTGGCATACCTACATTAAGAACATCAGATAAAAGTTCCTGTCAGCTTTAGGGGGCCACCACCTGTACTGGGGCCAAAGGTAGCCCTGTGTGAAGTGGGCAGAAGCCATCAGTACAGCAAGCTGGCAGCCCCTACAAAGGGGTGGGAGGTGCTGCTGCTGCAAACTACAACCCCTTGCCTGCACAAGGTGCAAAGTGGGTGGGAGCCACAAGGTAGCAGTCCCCACCCTTCACAATGCAGATGAGCACAAGCCAGGCAGAAGTCATGGCAAGCCTGCTCCTCCCCCCCCCCCTCTGCTGGGGTCTCAAGCTGTAGGTGGGGCCAGGTGTTCTTCTGGAGCAGGTGTGGGTGAGGATGTGCATTTGTTCCACAGACATTGGGGGGGGGATCTTGGAAGTAAGTCTTCTGTATTTCTGTATTGTTAAGTTTAGCTTAGTGTTATGTTTTCCTGTTCTTTTCATTATATCTGTAACCCAGTATGCACGGCAGTATTTCCCCCGTCTTCTTCTTTAGCTTAATCTGTAGCACTAAAGTCTTTTCCAGTCTAAGAGAGCAGACTGTGATTCAAAGTCCTCCTCCCATGCCTTAGATCACTCACTCACACTCAAATATGCATGCACAGGAGTTTTCCCCAAGTAATTGGGAAACTATGCCCTTTGTATTTGCACAGATACAGACTTTACTAGCATCCCCCAGGTCACTGGTAACATGGGAGGCTAGAGTTATAACTTGGGGTGGTGGCACAAAGAAGAGGAACATTCTTTACATATACACAAACACACTACATGGATGTAAGCACTCATAGACCCAGGGGTAGGTTTATGACAGTGTCTACCAGATCTCCCTTATCCACATGCCTCTTATCCTGTTCAAAGAACTCCAGGAGGTTGCAGAAGCCAGGCTGATTTTTCTTTAGCAAACTTTGTTCCTCAATCATTCTCTCTTTAATAATAGTTTCTATGGTGGCTCAAGTGGTTAAGACGCTGAACTGCAGGCTGTGGAAGGTCAGTAGTTCAGCGGTTCAAGACCCGGGTACCGCAAGACAGGGTGAGCTCCTGTCTCTAGTTCCAGCTCCTGCCAACCTAGCAGTTCGAAAGCAAGAAATTGCAAGTAGATAAATAGGGACCACTTTGGTGGGAAGGTAACAGCGTTCCGTGCGCATTGGTGTTTAGTCATGCCGGCCACATGACCACGGAAACGTCTTCAGACAGCGCTGGCTCTTCGGCTTTGAAACGGAGATGAGCACCGCAACCCTAGAGTCGGATTCGACTGGCTTTCGAGCAAGGGAACCTTTACCTTTACCTTTACCAATTTACCCAGAACAGATGTTAGGCTAACTGACCAATAATTTCCTGTATCCCTCCGGCCCCCCTTTTAAAAATGGGTCAAATTTGCTATTCATCTGTCATGGAGTCTGATTTTAGGGGTGAGTTTTATATATCTGTTAGCAGATGAACAATATCACATTTGAATTATTTGAGAACATTCAGGGACATGCCATCTGGACCATCAGACTTATCAGTTTTCAATTTACCTTGTAGTCCTAGAAAGTTACCTCAGTATGACTCAGTTCTTCAGGTACTGTGCCAAACAACAGTGAAGCTGGCAAGGGTATGCGCCCCCACATTTTCCACATGAAAAGAGAGGCAAAGAATCATTTCAGTTTCTCTGCCATCTCCCCATCTTCCTTAAGTAATCTTTCTGTTTCTGTGTCATCCAAAGGCCCCACCACCTCTATGGTGGTTTCCTGCTCCTGATCTATTTGAAGAAATCCTTATTGTCTGTCTTCATGTTTTTAGCCAACCACTTCTCAAATTCTTTTTGCTGGCCTTATTGCCAATTTCATTTGTTTTGCCAGGAGCATTTGTTGTGCTCCTTTCTGTTCATCTCGATCAAGGAAATCTTTTTAAAAGAAGCTGTTTATGACTTTTTTGAGTCATTAAACAAGTAGGTATCTTTTTAGACTTGATGGTACCTTTCCTGATTTGATGTATGCATTCTATCTGAGCCTCAACTGGTATACTTTTTCATTGTTTCTAGGCATCCTGGAGGGATTTGATTCTTTTCATTCCTCCTGTCTAACTAGTCCCCCCATTTTGGCAAAGCTCCCTCTTTTGAAATCAAAAGTGATAGTTCTTGAATTTGGGGGCAACTTTCTGTTGACATGAATGCTGAACTTAATAGCATTGTGGTCACTGTTCCCAGCTTGTGCAACAACATTTACATCTCGCACCAGATCCAAGCCCACAGTTGCTACTTCTCTAGCTGTCTCTGTGACCAACTGCTCCAATGCACAGTCATTTATGATGTCTAGAAAGCTTGTTCTATGGCATGACTCAAGAATGTATTTGCCCAATCAATGTGAGGATAGTTGAAATTACCCAGTATAACAGCCTTCTCCCCTTCGGTCACCTTCCTTATTTCCCTCTCCATCTTGAGATCTACCTCCTGGTTTTTATCAGAGGGGCAATACCTTTACTTTCAAGTAACCCTGAGGGCCCAGTATCTCCTCCAGTAGTGATTCCATGGAATAGCATTCATGGCCAAATGGGAATTGAACCAAAGTCTCCTAGATCCTAGTCTGTCTCTCTGACCACTATACCATACTGACACCTCTCAGTGTATATGGCCAGATCAAATAGTGATGCTCTGGCAAGGCAGTTCTGCACACATAAGCAGAACTTTCCATTGCTAGCTATGGAAGGAAAGACTGTCCTTTGGCACTCAAGAACATCCAACTGTCAGAGGTCGTGATGACAACACTGTATATACAAAAGGCTCTAAAAACACCCTTTCAGTCCATATGAATGTTGCATGTTAAATAGCAAAAGTGGAAGCTGTACCTAGAGTTGTTGTTCTGGTGAAAATTTGTGATATCTTATATGCCTGTGCCTCCCTTTTAGTGAGTAATAAAACTGCACCATTATTTGCAGCAAGGAAGTCAGTCAAAATGTGTCAAACATTATTGGTACACATCCTGGCCAGACCACAAAACTCCAGATAGTGCTCAGCCTCTTCTACAGCTCATGCTGGATGTAGAAAAAGACAGAATGGCATCAGCTGGGAGAGGACCTGTAATTGTGCATTGCAGGTAAGTCACTTCCCACCCCCAGTGTTGCTTCTTCTGTTTACCGGTTTTGTAGAGTGTGCAAGAGAGTCAGAAAGACATTCTGCATTAATGTGATTTTTGTTGACATCTTACTTATTCCTGAAACCATGTAATGATAGATTTGGAGTACTTCACAGGCTTTCCAACTCCAGGCTGGGAAATTCCTGGAGATTTGGGGGAGGAGCATGGGGAAACTCAAGTCTGAGGAGGTAAAGGAGTTCAGCAGGGATGTGATGCCATAGAGTCTGCCTTCAAAAGCTGCCATTTCCTCCAGTGAAAATGATCTCTGTAGTCTTGGGATCAGTTGTAATTATGGGAGAATTCTAGACTTCACCTGGAGGTTGGTAATCCTTAGGATAGAGTGGAAAGAAGCAATGTGCTTGAAATAAGACTCCCTTCTTCTGTAATCTTCCAAAATATTAAGGGCAGGCCCCTCCATTCATCATGTTACTTCTTGAGTATGACACAGCCCCCACTCTGCTATATAAAACAGAAGTTCAGCAGCCAATTAGCAACTCTCTAGTAAAATCCCAAATTCCTTGGTATATTTCATTTTGTTTAACAAGGATGATGCAATTTTTTAACTTTTTATTGCATTTTCACTACATACTACACAGGGCAAGGGATAAGGAAACACTAACTAAAAGCAAAAGCTAAACAAGGATCTAATACGATACAATTAGCTTATTTCAAAGTTTCCCTTAGCTTTAACATTCTAAAGATAAAGGATGAGATTAACTGTTTCAGATATAATTCAGCACAAACAATATTAGCCAAGTAGGTATATTCTGGTACATTAGACTTAATAATATTAAACTTTCAGAATTGATTCAATTATTTCTTCTTTTTCCCTTAATGGTTATCTTTGTCATAGTCCCATCTGACTTTCAGGAGTTTGGGGATGGCTTCTCCCATATCAGATTCAGAGTCTTCTTCTGAGGAGCTGGCCGGTGTACTGCCACTACTTCCTGATCCATTTTCGCGGTTATCTTCCCCTGCATTGTTGTCCTCCACTTTCCCTTCCTCTTTCTCTGTTTTTTGATGCTGCTCCGAAAAAGCTTTAGCTTTTGCAACAGAGTCTATTTTTTCTTCTTTCTCCTTGAAGTTGAAGATTCTGGTAAGATCCATCTGCAGGGAGTTTTTCTGTTTAAAAATTGTCAGTTTTTTATATTGTTGTCTCTTCTTTCTTGTCTCAAATGGAATGTCTTTTAAAATTCTCATTTCTTCTCCTCTGATTTTTAGAGTAATCCCATTAGTCACTTTAAGTATTACATCCCTGGTTGGCATCTTGGAAAATTTCACAAATATTTTACTTAGTAGTTTATTTTTATTTTTTTGCATCCCCCTAAGGGGAGTTTTTTATTGATTTTTTCACACCACTACAAACTACAACTGAAAATATAGGAAGGGAAACTACCTCTAAGGAGAAAGAAAAGAAATCCACTAATAACTTAAACCCCAAGAGTGGGAGATCAATACATCAGCTTATTTCAATATTAATCTAAAATGCTAGTAATACATTGAACATAGTCGGTTATGCTAAATTATTTATCTTTTAACCACCCATTTATCTGTTAAATGAAACCCTCATAGCATCCCAAAGTTATTTCTAAATTTTCAGGCACAATTCAGAGTCCTTCAGCCTTTATTTTCTCATATCTTTTCTTATCCTCAATTTATATGGACTTTTGGGGGCTGCTGCCCCCTTTTCAGAGAGAGAGTCCTCATCAGAAAACACCGAGCCTAACTTGCCATCCGATTTGCTTTCTTCTTCTTCCTTCTTGTCCTCCGCTGGTTCCCCCAGCTGTGTTCTCAAGAACTCGTGTGCTTTAAGAACAGAGTCAATCTTTTCTTTTTTGTCGTGGAGCTTGAAAATGATGCATTCTGGAATTAACCATCTATAACTGATGCCATTTGTTTGTAAAAAAAGAATTAAGTCTTTATATTTCTTTCTCTTCTGTCTTATTTCAAATGGAATGTCTTTTAACATCCTGATATTATTGTCCCCGATTTTCAAGGGTGTTCCCGTAGTTGCTTTCAAAATAGAATCTCTCACATGTCTCTTTGAGAATCTGACTACTATTTCCCCAGGCAGATTATTTTTCTTGATGTATAAGGAATAGGACCTGTAGACCACATCCATCTCGCTATAAAGATATTCCGCCGTCAAATCTGTCAATGGGGCTATTGCATCACTCAACAGTTGCTTCAGATTCTCTCCTTTAATTTCTGGGACCCCTTGGAACCGTAGGACCAAATTTGCTTTCTCCATTTGCAGCTGTAAAAGTTGTGACTCTTCCATAGCTTGTTTCATTTCCAGTTTTTGCACCTTTTTCTTGACTTTTTTAGTATTAGCGTCCATTTCCTTCATCTGCTCTGCCATTTGCTCCATTGCATTTGAGGATTTAGTCAATTGTAGCTGCTGTGAAGCCAAACTCTGACCAATTGTTGACAATTGTTGCTTGATATTAGTCATCTCATCCAGCAGAGGGTGCAAGAAATCTGCCAACAGTTTAGGAAGCTCAGTGGTCTCTTCCGTTCGAGGACTGCTCATTAGTTTCGCTTTCAAGAGTTTGTCTTTATCTGGTTTCTTCCCCACCATCTTTTTGGATTATTTACTTTTCTAAAAGTTGCTAAAGTCTCTGATATTCGCCCATATGCTTATCTGAGCTCTTAAAACAGATTTAGACACTTATTTCTGTGTTTTCGTTTGTGCGTTTGGGAGGGGCCCCTCCTCTGCTCACTTTTCATCACTTTTTAAGGGGGGCAGCTTTCTTTTTAAATCTTCATGCTCGCTTCAAACCAACTCACAGTTTGTTGTTGGCCGGCCAGCCTCGCTCGGCATAGTTTTTTCTCGCCCGATCTCCAACACTTGTCCCGGTCAGCAGCACTAGTACCATGCGGTCACTCAATGGCAGGACCTTCGGGGCAGAGGAACGCCTCAATTCTCCAGCATCACACTGGCGAAGAGGTCGCCCCTCAAAAGTTCCCTGGCTAGCAGCCTTTTACCAAGGCTCTGGGGGGGGTTGCGACCCATCGCACCCCTTCCTACATGCTGGTGTGCAGTTTGCATCCCTGGGATGTCTGGGAGATGCGTTTGCCTGGGTGTCGCCAAAAACCGGAAGTCGGCCGGTAGTTTATTTTTCTTGATGTAGTCTGGATAAGTCCGATAGACCACATCTATCTCGCTTTGTATAAGTTCCGCTTTGAGATCTACTACTGGTGCCAGGGCTTCGCTTAAAATCTCCTTGAGGTTTTCTCCTTTTTGTTATGGGATACCATGGAATCTCAGGATATATGATGATTTTTCCATTTGTAGTTGTAGCAGCTGTTGTTTATCAGAGTCTTTCTCTTTTTCCACTGCCTCCAGTCTCTGATTTAATGCTTTTGTCTTAGCATCAACTTTTCCCAAAGATTTGGCTGTTTTTTCTGTTTTATATGTTTCTTTTAGCTGTTTTTGAAGAATTTCAAAATTATTATTAAGATGGGTCATCTGGTCCAGTAGAGGGCGCAATGCAGTGGCTTTCATATTAGGAAAGTCTATAGTTGATTATTAGATGGTTAGACAGTGTCATAGATGCAACGAACATGAAACTGAGCAAACTTCAGAGGACGGCGGAAGACAGGAAGGCCTGGCATGATCTGGTCCATGGGGCCACGAAGAGTCGGACTCGACTGTGCGACTGAACAACAACAAATAGTTGCTTCCAGTTTGGAAGCAGAAGCTGCTGAGCTAGCAGTTCCTGAAGAAGAAGATCTCACTTTCGACACCATTTTTTCAGCCCGATGTGACATTGTTTACATTAGGAAAAAGTTCAAAAAAGTCTCTGTAAGTTTATTAGATCTTGCTCTTTAACTAGTCTGCACTCTATTTGGGCTGTATGATGCTTTCCAATCAGCTTTCCCCCCTTTACCTCTTAAAATTGCTTCTTTTTTCTTCTGGGGTGAGCGCAGCCCGATTCCCTCTGCTTTTAAATGTGAGGATTTGGGAAAAGCTATCCACTTAGATGTTTGTCTGTTTTAAGGGCACATGGACTCACACTTCATCGGTTGCTTGCTTCAATAAGGTAGGGAAAGGTTTAAGATGCTAGATCTCCTGTTTGCTTTCCCCAGTGTGCGTCTCTGTCACCATTGCTGGTCTCGTAATGGCAGGACCTGTTGGGGCAAAGAGGAACCTCAATCCCTCGGCCATCACCTCAGGAATGGCACCTCTCACGCCCCAAGCTACAAGCCCCCTCTGCGGGCTCTGGGGGGGGGAACAGAATCGTCTGGTACCCCTCCCGTCCACTACAATCACGGGTCGCGTTTATCGGAGTTCGATGAAATGCTTCCGTCAGCGAATCACCAAAACCAGAAGTCCAAGGATGATGCAGATTTATCCACAATTCCATTACTATGGCAAATTCCTATTCACATTGCTGTATGGCCAGTGTAATTTGTAATGCACTAGAAAGGCTACAATATTCAGTTTAACTTCTGGCTTCTTTCAATATACTATAGTTACTTTTGGTCACCTATACATCTCACTTGTCCCTGAATTGGTGGCACATTTCCCCCCATAAGGTCTTCATTAGGGGTGTAAACTGAGAAAAATATCACTATAACTTCCAATCTGGGGGGGGGGAGGTTACTGTGATTGTTTTTGTGGGGTTAGGACATTATTAGTTTGGGATTCAAATCTGTGTGGTTTTGGAGTTTTGTACCATTATTTTCAATGGGAAATATGTATGAGGGTCTGGGCCAGCTGTTCATAAAAATAATGGCGCCAAATTTGCACAGAACATACACCTCCCTCTAATCTAAGGATCCCCCAAGTTTCAAGTGAATTGGACCATCATCATTGGCTATTATCCCCAGTTTAATTTTCTTATCTATTTAATGTGTTGTTTTGATGCAAATTTGTTTTCTCTTTAAATTGTTTGTAATTGTATAATAAAATACATTATTTTTTAAAGTGAATTGGACCAAGGATCAATTTTACAGACCCCCAAAGTAGATGCCTCTTGGTGCATTTTTCTGCATTCAGAAAAATGTACAGTTGCCTATTGCCTCAGTGTTATATGATTCAGTGCATTTTGGAGAAGGTGGCCTAATCATCCCTTATGTCATTCAGAAATATGGATGTGAGCTGAATTTTTGAGAGAAAGAATTAAACCCAATACATTGGCCATTTATGCTAGATCTATTTGCCCAAATGTGCTCCGATGTACTTAGGTTGTGCATATTTGTACAGAATGGAAATAGAAAGACACACAGCATTGATTAATCAATTCACAGTAGTTGCTATGCTTAAGAACTGTGACTTTGATTTCTGGTAGGAAATAACTAATGGGATGATCCCTTGACTAAAGCAATTAGATCATTATGAGTGGGGAACCTGCAAAGACATGCAGGGGCATTTCGTGTTGCCCTCCCCCACTTTCCCCTTTTTCTGCTTCCTTCTGTCCTTCACCCCAACAGCTAATCTACCTTTATCTGCCTTCCCCAACTTCAGCTTTTCCTCCTCCTCTGCCCCCTGGCATCTCCTCCCTGGGAAAACTGTGGCCAAATTGCATGGTACCAGCCAAGCCAGGCCAGGCTCAGCTGCATGGTGTGGAACCTGCAAGAACCTCACTTTCCCTTTTATCCCCCTACCCATACTGTTTCCTCCTGGGAGCCCCCATATCCTCAACTTTCCCTGCTTCCTTCTCTTCTTTCTACTCACCAAAAAACCTAGCTTTTACCTGCTGCCCATCTTCAGCTATATTTATGATTTATTTACTGCATTTATACCTTGCGTTTCTCCACAATAGGAGCCCAAAGCAGTTTACATGATTCTCCTCCATTTTATGCTCACAACAACCCTGTGAGGTAGGTTAAGCTAACAGTGTATGAACGGCCTAAATTTACCCAGCAAGCTTCCACAGCAGAATGGGGATTTGAAACTGGATCTCCCAGAGATTAGCCTGAAACTCTAACCACTGCACCACACTGGTTTTCATGGGGTGGCTGCTGCTGAACAATAACAAGCAGCTGAGGCCTGGATGAATCATGAAACTCTGGTGGCAACAAGTCACCTGGTGGTTGCTGCCAGGCCCAAACTGAATGAGTCCTCCCTCAAAGGCTGAAACAACCCTGCCCCTCCACCTACCTTTTCCTGATAGAGACCAAGACTTGATGGCTGACAGTAATGTTGTGGTTACCTAGCAATGACCAATGAGGGCATTCATTTCTTAAAGCTACAAGCAATCATCATTGGAGGGGGGGGGTTAATCCCCCAATGGTTTTTGTTGATGTTGTTTTTAGACTTCAGATTTTTCTGCAAACCTGGGGCTGTTCTTAGGTTTGTAGAAAGATCTGTTTTGTCTGTCCATGGTCTCATTTTCTGGATTTAAGTATCCACAGATGGGGCCACATTGAAAATTAGGGTCTGATTAGGCAATTTGTTAAACATAAGTTGGGGGAAAACCCAACCCAACTTGTGTTTAACACGCAACTCACCTTAAACATAATGGGGGGGGGGGAATTGGCTCCCAAGCATGCACATGGTGGCAGGATGGTGATGGTGCTTCATCATTCCCTCTCTTCCATCCCACACATTTTTTGTAGCAGAAATGGCCCATGAGGGATGGGCTGTTTGTTACTGTTAGTTCCACATGTCTCCTGTACAGACATGTAGGACCAACATTAGGACAAACAGCCCACCCTTCACAGTTCTTTTCTGCTAGCGAAAGTGTGCAGGGTGGAAAGGAAGGAATGGTGAAGTCTCTGTTGCCACCATGCACGCACTCGGGAACCAGTCTCCCCTATTTTTAAGGCGAGTGCTGGGCCACATGTTAAATGCTAGCTGGGTTGGGGGTAGGGTTGCCAAGTCCCCCTGGGGGACGCCGGGCACGCTGGGGGCGGGGCCATGGCCATACAAGGGAAAACTCTATGGTTTTCCCTTGTATGGTCGTGCCCCCGCCCCCAGCGTGCCTGGCGTCATGATGTCACTTCCCTGTGACGTGCATGCGGCACGTGCACAGTTCGCGCACGCACACACACGCCGGGATCCGCACGGGAGTCCCCTGCCAGCAAGTGCCACTTGGCAACCCTAGTTGGGGGCTTAATGTATTGTCTAATCAGACCCTTAGATAGATTGATGATTCTTTTTTCTTCATGAATAATATTTCAGAGAACTTACAGTTTAGATGGTGGAAGCTGATGACAGTCATTTAAACAGTTTGGGATTGATTTTTACTTTCAGTGCTGGAATAGGAAGAACTGGATGTTTTATTGCTACTACCATCGGTTGTCATCAACTGAAGGAAGAGGGAGTTGTTGATGCTTTAAGCATTGTCTGTCAACTGCGTTTGGACAGGTAAGACAATGTAGAATGTGACAATCATTTATATTTGTCTGTTAGATCTCAGATCACTTGACTGTAATCTCACTAATTAAAGGTATTCTGATCATGCCAGACACAGAAAGTGGTGTGAGAATAAAGCAATACAAGTAAGCTGAAGGAGTCTTGGGGACTATTTGTACATAGCAATGCCCTCACAGGGTTTTAAGGAGAAACCAGTCCCAGAAGACTTCGATTCTGGGGGGAAGGGGAATGGCTTGGTTGTTTTTCATCTCAAAATACCAATCCCCCAACTACCTTTCTCTGCAGGGGCTCCAGGCATATATTTAAAGGAAAGAAAGCCATGGGGGGGGGAGCAGGATCTGGAGTGAAAGTATTGCCAGCAGGTAAAGGGCTACACTCCCACCACACCTCTGCTCAGAATTACAGCTTCCCAAGGCTCCTTTTCATTAAAAAAACAAAACAAAACCCTGTTGGAGCATTGTTACCAATCCTCCTTCTAAGCTGTGGAGTCTTCTGAGCAAAAATTCTATTTTGGCTGAATCTGCATTTCTCTTTCCCACCGATGTCCCAGCCTTTTGACTCTGTCTTCAGAAAAGCTGTCTACATTTGGTGTCATTTTCACACCTCAAGAGTGCTAGCATACTTTTGCACATCCACATATGTTTATCATCCTTTCGGGGTGGCTCCACAATCATTGCACCTCTGCACTGCTTTAAAAGAATCTTCTCCAAACAACATTCAAACAAGCATAGAGGAAGACGGTGTCACAGCAGCATGAAACTAATTTAAAATGCAAATGCAGATTCGACCTTTGTGAGCTCCTGGCATTAAAGTTGTGAGCAAGTGATTTGGCTACTGCATTAATTAGTTTGCTCTGGAGCCATCCTTCCTGAATGAAGACAAGAATGTGTGAGCTGGAGGCTGAAAAACTGTGAGCTACCTCACACTAACTCAGTTCAGAGGGAACACTGATTGTTACGTGTACTTGAATGCAATATCTAACTTTCCCTTCAATTTGAGAAACACTTATTTAGAATTCTTTCTTTTTTACATTGTGCTGTATTTTTGGTTTGAGATAAAAGGCCAAATAAAGCAAAAATGAGGGCTGAATATGGAGGAGCTTAACCAATGCAATCACAGACTGAAAATGCTTGTCGCTGTCTGCTGTTTCATATGAAAAACAATGGTTTAGATCAGAAAACTTCGAGCACATCAGATTCAGAAGGCTAGTTATCAATATGAATAAAGCAAGAAACAGTGTTTCCAGTCACCTCTTATATCAAGTTTATTTATTATTTATTCATTATTTTCAGTCTGTATCTCACCTTGCCAGGGAACTGGCTCAAGGTGGTGAACAAGCATTAAAAACAGTAAAACAGTAAATACAATAAAATATAAATAACAATTACTTAACATCATAGAATTCTAACAAGGACAATACAAATGATAGCGGCATTCAATATACAGAGGAAGGCAATATCCACCGATGTTTCATGCAGGCTGTAGTATGTTCTGGTGGCGCATTCGTCAGTGGCAGCTCCTAATCAAAAGCCTGGTGGAAGAGTTCCATTTTACAGGCCCTGTGAAACTGTAAAAAGTCCCGCAGAGCCCTGATGTTATCCGAGAGCTCATTCTACCAGTGTGGGGGCACCATTGAAAAGGCCCTGGCTCTAGTAGCGGCCAACCTGGCATCTCTCAGGCCAGGGAGAGTCAGGCGATTCTGAGTCCCTGACCTCAGTGCTCTCTGGGGCACATGTGGGAAGAGACGGTCCCTCAAGTAGGCAGGCCCCTGACCATATAGGGCTTTAAAGGTCAAAACCAGCACCTTGAAATGGACCCATCAACAGCCTGGCTGCCACATTTTGCACTAGCTGCAGCTTCTGGATCTGAGACAAGGGCAGCCCCATGTAGAGAGCATTGCAGTAGTCTAATCTCAAGGTGACCATAGCATGGATCACTGTTGCCAGGTCATTGCGTTCGAGGAAGGGAACCAACTGCCTAATCAGCTGCAGATGGTAAAAGGCTGCCTTGGCAGTGGCTGCTACCTGGGCCTTCATTGTTAAGGTGGCATCCAGGAGCACTACCAAACTCCTAACCCTTGGCACTGGCACCAATGGCGCCCCATCGAAGGTGGGAGTGGGACCCCTACCCCAATCCGCTCTGACTCAGGCCCAGGACCTCCATCTTCATTGGATTCAATTTCAATCGGCTCAGTCTAAGCCAGCCCGCCACGTCACGAGGCGCCCGCTCCGGATCATCTGGGGTAGAGTCGGACTGACCACCCAACAACAGATATAGCTGGGTGTCATCTGCATATTGATGGCACCCTAGCCTATGCCTCCAGGCAATCTGGGCAAGGGGGCGCATGTAGATGTTAACATCGGGGACAGTACCGCCCCTTGAGGAACCCCACAAACCAGCAGGTACCTCTGGGACGTCTGCTCCCCTAACACCACCCTCTGTCCCCGACCTTGGGAAAAGGAGACAAGCCATTGCAAGGCAAGCCCTTGGATCCCACTGTTGGCGAGGCGGTGGATCAGTAACTGATGGTCGACGGTGCCAAATGCTGCCGACAGATCTAACAGCAACAGCACCACCGTACCGCCTCAATCCAGATGCCTCCGGAGGTCATCTGTGAGGGTGACCAGTGCCGTCTCTGTCCCGTGGCCCGGCCAGAAACCGGACTGAAACAGGTCTAGCATGGAAGTGTCATCCATAAAGCTCTGCAACTGAATCGCCACTGCTCTCTCAAGTAATTTGCCCAAATAGGGCAAATTGGAGACCAGCCAATAGTTGGCCAATTCAGCTGGGTCCAAGGATGGTTTTTTCAGGACAGGGTGGACCATCGCTTCCTAGAGTGTCCCCAGGAACAGTCCCTCAGTGAAGGACTTGTTGATAATATCCCTGAGGGCACCTCGTAATCCCTCATGGCCAGCTTGTATGAGCTATGAAGGGCACGGATCAAGGCTGCACGTGGTTGGGAGTACCGTTGAGAGCAATTTGTTGACTTCCTCAAGGCTGAGTGGACTGAAATAATCCAGAACAGAACCAGAAGATGTGCATGGAGCCTCGAGTTCATTCACTGTCTCAACTGTGGCAGGGAGATTGTGGTGGAGCAGCAAGACTTTATCTGCAAAATAGCTCACAAAAGCCTCACAGCCAGTATCCAATTCCCTAGCATTTGGTCTGCCCTGAGGCAGCTCTGTTAATGACCAAATGGTTCTAAACAATTGTGCTGGGCGTGAGCTAGCAGACACAACCCTAGCCACGTAGAACTGTCTCTTTGCGGCCTAGATTGTCATCTCATAGGATCTCATAAACGTCCTGTAAAATGCTCTTGTTGCTTCATCACGAGCACACCGCCACCGTCTCTCTAGCTGTCTAAGCCCTCGTTTCATCAGCCACAACTCCTTGGTGAACCAAGGACCCCACTTAGGGCGAGGGCGCAGAGGGCGTCGGGGAGCAATCTCTTTGATGGCTGCTGAGAGCCGACTGTGCCAGTCCTCAACAAGCTCATCTAACGAGCCGCCTGGGGGCATAGGATCCCGCAGAGCCATCTGAAGCCACTGAGGGTCCATTTGGCTCCGCGGGCGAGCCAGAATATGCTCACCGTCCAAACAGGGTCAGGGCAACACATTCACACAGGCCTTCAGGGCATGGTGGCCCAACCATAGCACTGCCAACGTAGTGATCCGGTCCACTGTAACCCCCGCGGCAAAGATCAAGTTGAGCGTATGTCCGGCCCAATGAGTGGGGGCTGTTATGAATTGGATGGACACCATGTCCATCACCGGTACAGAGGCCGCATCATCAGCATGGACTTTGAAGTCGCCCAAGACTATCAGCCTAGGGTACTCCAATGCCCAGCCCGACACAGCCTCGACCAGAGATGGCAGGCTGTCGGTTGTTGCATTAGGCAGACGGTACACCAGCCAAATAGCCAAACTCTCCGCGGCTTCCCACACAAGGCCCGAGCATTCGATACCTGCAAGCTTCAGTGGTGGGAGCACCCAGAAGAAGTAAGCCTCCCAAATGAGTAGCACCACTCCTCCCCCCCACCCCACAGTCCGTGATTGCTGAAGGACCGAGAACCCAGGCAGAGCCAGCTGGGAGAGAGATACTGTCTTCCCATCTCACACCGAAGTCTCGGTCATGCACGCCCGGAAATCCCGAAGGGTCAAGGCCTTATTGTTTATGGACCCGGTGTTACACAACAGCAATGTCGGAGGGGGGGTCCTTAATCCCAGCCCCTCTGCCTGTCACTCTTGGGGTGGGATGCAGGCTGGAAGGGGGTCGAGCTTCTCTGTTTCTCCACCTCCTTCCCTTGACTTCTTGCCTGTTCCCACCACTATACTTTCCCCTCCCCAGGAGCACTGGTATTCCTAGCCCCATTGCTGCCATTGCAGGTGGCCTTCGCAGTGCCTTTACAGTGCTTCAGGCCGACCTTAAGATTGGCTTATAGACAGGGCCCACTATTGGAATGCCACTAAAAAGGTCTAAAGTTCTCCTCAACAAAATTAATTCATACAATCAAGCCAAAATTTCCAACCTACAATAGCCAAATCTCTAAACCCAACTAATATAAGCAGACCTCAGTCACCCTGAGTTCCTTTCCTGCTAACCTTCCAGGTTGCAGAATAAAACTACTCTATTTAACTAAACTATAAAGGGTAGAAACAGGTCTTCATCCCACTATTATAACTAGCTATTATTAATATACAACCCCCAGCAGAGGTATGGGGGGTGCTCCTGATCTCTGCTACACAGGTTGATCCCCTCTTGCCTTGTCCCTGGACTCATGGGGTGGTAAATTGGGGAAGGGAGAGTCCCAAGGCCTTCCTGTTCTCCAGTGATGAAAATCTCAGCTCTGTGCCTCCCGCTCAGCTGTCTGTTGGCCCTCATCTCTTGATACTGCCTGCACTGGCCAGTCTCATGGTATTACCAGCATTGGTCAGTCAAGGTAAGCATTGTCCAGCATGACATGGGGACCAACACTCGCACCGGGATCCTTG